AAAAATTATAAAACCAAGTCAACACAATTTTAAAGTGATTAACAAGTAATTGATGTGTCTACAAGAGAAAAGTCAACAATATTCAGAGGACAATAATAGAATCTAGAGTCTCCACAATGATGTATTCATTGTCTAATATTCAGTAAAGAAAAAAAAAAAAGATTAGACATGCAAAACAGAAAAATGTGTCTCACAGCCAAGAAAAGAAAAGCAATTAGAAATTAGCCTCGGGGCACCTGGGTGGGCTCAGTCAGTTAAGCATTCGACTCTTGATTTTGGCTCAGGTCATGATCTCAGGGTCGTGAGATTGAGCCCAGAGTTGGGGTCCGTGCTCAGAGTGGAGTCTGCTTGTCCCTCTCTCTCTGCTCCTCCTCCCACTTGCGCACACTCTTGCTCTCTCTCTCTCTCAAATAAATAAATAAAAATCTTAAAAAAAAAAAGGAAACTAACCTCAAGGTCACTTTACATTGTTACTATTGTTATATTAGTCAGTCGGTCTTTAAAAAACCATTGTGGGGGCGCCTGGGGGGCTCAGTGTTAAGCGTCTGCCTTCGGCTCAGGTCATGATCCCAGGGTCCTGGGATCGAGCCCCACGTCAGGCTCCCTGCTCCGAAGCCTGCTTCTCCCTCTCCCACTCCCCCTGCTTGTGTTCCCTCTCTCGCTGTCTCTCTCTCTCTCTCTCTCTCTGTTAAATAAATAAATAAAATCTTTAAAAAAAATAAAATAAAAAAATAAAAAACCATTGTGGTCAGCTACATGACAGCCTTCCAAACATATCCTTGTCCTAATCCCAAGAACCTGTACATATGCTACATTATGCAGAAAAAGGGACCTGGAGGATGTGATTCATTGACGGGTTTTGAGATGAGATTATCCTGAGTTATCTGGGTGGGCCCAATGTAATTGCAAGAGTTACAATAAAAGGAAAGCAGGAGAATCAGAGTCAGACAGAGGAGATGGACAGCTAGAAACACAGGTCGGAGAGATTCCAAGATGTTGTGCTGCTGGCTTTGAAGATGGAAGGAGGGGCCGTGACCCAAGGAATGCAGGTGGCGGGCATCTAGAATCTGGTTAATGAAAGGAAATGGCTTCCCATCTAGAATCTCCAGAAGTAAGGCAGGACTTCTGACCTCTGAAAGAAAGTAAAGTTGTGTTGTCTTAAGCCACTAAATTTGTCGTAATACATTACAGCATCCAGAGGAAAGTAATACAAACCAGATGCTAGATTTAACAGGCAAAGATGTTAAAGGAGCTATTTAAATACGTTTAAAGAGTTAAAGGAAAGTGATATATTTAGTGAATGAGGGGAAACTTAAGAAGAAAAGTGGAATTCAATAGAAATTTTACAATTGAAAAGTAAAATAACTGAAATAAAAAACCTCTCAGGGGAGCCCCTTTGATTCCTTTCAAATGCAATTTCTGTCATTCAAGCGAAGATTAATGGACATGCAAGGAGACAAGATCACATGACCTTTGAACATGGGTAAAATGGCGGGCAATAGAAGCAGATCCAATGGTTATATGATACTGTAGTAAACAGACAAAGACTTTAAAATAACTAATTATTCAGTTCTAGAAAATATAGGGAAAGGAACAAAATAGATCCAAAGACCAAAAAAAAAAAAAAAAACAAAACTTCACAGGAGTGGTAGAATAAAGATAACCAAAAGTCCATTGCATAAATTAAAAAAATACAATATCTGAAATTAGGAATTCAATGCATGAGTTTCATAGCAGATTATATACAGTACAAGCCAGGATTAATGAAAGATAAATAGAAAATATTCAGATAGAAGGATGCAGAGGGAAATAGAATTGAAAGAAAACAGATCAATGTGCATAATAATTTATTTTCTTCCTAGGAACTCAGTCACAGAAAGGGTTCTACCCCTTCAGGGATTTTTGCATTGCTGGCCTTGTATCCTTTGATATCATCTGGACTCATTGTGTTTTTTGTTGTTGTTTTTAAAGATTTTATTTATTTCTTTTGAGAGAAAGAGAATGAGAGAGAGAGAGCTTGAGAGGGGGGAGGGTCAGAGGGAGAAGGGAGCCTGATATGGGACTCTATCCCGGGACTCCAGGATCATGACCTGAGCCCAAGGCAGTTGCTTAACCAACTGAGCCACCCAGGCGCCCTCATCTGGACTCATTGTATAGCATCAGGTAGATTATATCAAACGGTGTTGCTGGGTAGAGCTTAAGAATAAAATTAGAACAGGAAATGAACATTTAACTTCAAGTGCTACATGGCCTTGTAACTACTAACGTCTTGTTCTACCTCTTCTCAGAGCTTTCTAGGGGAAAGTTAAACTGCCCTGCCCTGGTCCAAGAGGACACAAAGGCACGAAGGTGGGTTTCTAGAAGCATGGCAGCAGTGAAGCAAGCTCCTTCCCCAAGGGTGCAGCTCTAACCCTGTGGATCATAGGCATGGCTGTTAACCCCGAAGAGTTAAAGAACAGAAATATGGCCGATATAGAAAGAAAATGCTGCCAACGCTTACACTCCCATGGAGAGAGCACTGGAGGGGCAGCTTACCGATCTCTTTTCATCCCTTACTTGTGACTTCCCAAAGAAGGAGGAGGAGCTCAGTTTGATCAGTGGGTCTGCGCTCAGAGTGGATGGGTAAATGATAGTTGATGGGCCAAAGATCTTTACAGAAAAGCCGTAATGAACAAAAGCAGAAGAGTGTTCGAATTTTAAAATTCACCGTTGTGAAAGCCCTAGTGGGTCCAGACAAGAATTAGCAATGACTGATAAACTATGAAAGGCAAAGGAGGTTGGAGATCTTTATGAGATGAGCATTAGGCTGAAACATCCTGAAACCTCTGCTCAGTTGTCCAATGGAGGGCAGTGAGACATTGAAGCTCCTGAGGCAGAGTACTGTTGTGGTGGAAGGAAAACAAGGAGGAAGGGAGGGGGGAGGGGGAAAAAAGAGAGAGGGAGGGAGAGAGGGAAGGTGGCGGGAAAGAATCTGCATCTAATCTAACCTCCAGCTCTGCCTTCCAATTTCCACCAAATACAGGGCATGGAGGGACATGACAAACAGCAGAATTGAATTAAGACAGGCGAACCCACAATCAGGAAAATGCCACAGGACGAATGACACAATTTCTGCAGTAAATAGATGACAATAAATAAAAGAAACAGGAACTCTAATAGATTAAAAGAAATTTATTAGACCTCTCAACCACATGTGATGCATGGGCCTTGTTTGGACCCTAATTTGAAAAAAACAAAAAAACAAAAAAAACCCCAACTGTAAAAAGACATGTTTGAGGTAACCAAGGGAAAGAAAATAAGGATTAGATATTAGATACTATTAAGGAATCATTTTTTATTTTGTGTCGGTTTTCTGTTTTTTGAAAGAGATCAATGTTGAAGCACTTATAGGTGAAACTACTGTGTTTTCTAGGATTTGCTTTTAAATATTCTAGCAAAAAAGCGTGGAACGGGATAGATGAGACAAGGATAGGATGTTAATTACTGGTGAAATTCAGTCATGGATACGTGGGGTCATTTTGGTACTTTCTCTTATTCTGTGACAGTTTAAATGTCCATGATATACAGATAAAAACAAAGTGGAGGGGTTCCTGTGACTCCAAAATTTGGAACAGGTTTTTCCGGATTCCCTGCCCTCACGTGCAATGAGCCTAACTTGAACTTGGAGTCCTTACTGTGGTGAACAGCCCCAGCACCTCCCTCTCTGGCAGAGTCAGAACTCTGCTCTTTTGTCCTCATACTTTCTTGGCCTACCACTACGAGGCAAGGTCATTCGGGTCCCATTTTAGTCTCAGAAGAATCATCAATCTCTTTTTTTGGCTTCCATTCCAAACACAATTAGCCCAGAACTCTTTACTTTGGAAAATAAAACTCACCCTTTGAATCCAATTTGGCTTGGATCTTTGTGACCATATTCTATGCGCAGAACCCCGGAGGGCAGACAGTCATCTGCACCTGACCCCAAACTGCAGGGAGCAGGTCAGGTATAAGAGAATGACAACACAGCTGAATAAAGGAAGGTAGTTTGAGGATAAAGGAAAATTATGCATGTTCCCAAACTAAGATCGGTTATCCAGGGTAATAGAAAGGTTAAAAATTTGAGAGAGTGGGATTAAGTGTCAGAGCAAGGTCCCTAAGAGAGCAGAAGAAGGACCAAAGATGCAGCAGAAGAATTAGTATCAGAAAGAGAACCCATTTATTGTTCTGAACATGGGTGTGAAAAAGGAAAAGGAAAAAAAAAGATTCTACAGGGACAAGTTGAGATAGACATAAGGGAGGTTGAGGTGGCTTTTTTCCGGTGGGCAAAATCTTTGAAATAAGAAAGGAGAGAGACCGAGGGAAAGGAAAGGGGTTTGTGTCCAGGGTTAGAACAACAACAGCTATGGTATATAGGCTAACTAACCCGGCCACACTTTGGTGAGGGCCCCGGAGCTGGGCTGGGCATTTGGGAGACAGGAGAGGGGAGTGACCCCACCTCCAGGTTTCCAGTGGACCTCGGGATGCTGCCCCATGCTGTGCAGTCAGCATACGTGAGCACGTTGAGCCCTCCAGTCAAACAGCTCATTCCTTATGCTATAGAAAGGCCCCAAAGAGGATGGCTCAGAAGGCGGGTGGTGAAGACAGCGCCATCATCCAGAAAGGTCCATGTGCAGAGCCACTGCCTCCCCCCCATCCCACCCCCACCTGCTTGGCACAGGTTCCCCCCATCGTCCTCACTTAGGTCTAATGTTCTAGAAGCACCTGAAAGTCACAAAGCATTCCCATGGTACTCATTCTTCTGTTTCAACCATCTATTCCAACCTTATTCTAAAACTGATTCTTAAAATTATTTTTTGCTCCCTAAACACAGAGAACATAAGCTTCATGTAAATAGAATAATGGTAAAGCTGCGTTTTCACAGAAAAATGTTACCAGCTTATTCAGTGATTTTAAATTAGTTTATTAATTGTATCAACACATTGACTAAGGTTTTAAATATCCAGACTAGGCATTTTCTCAAATATTTATACTTAGTGATAATTAAGCACACACATAACTCAAAAACAGCCTTAGCTGTTACAATAAATAGATAACATATTTTCAAGAGAGTCACAAAAGAGAAAGGTATCTAAAGAGAATTGGTGTTTCCTGGGATAATTTTCCACAGAAATCAAAACACTTAGATTTTACTTAATACCCAATATATACATGACATTTCAAAGTACTTCTGTTCCCCCAAAAGAGGCCCCTCCTCCCTTTCCAGGGATGTGTTGGTAATTACTAATACAACTTGATAATTTTTCTCAATTCAGTAACAACTTCTAAAAATATCTACACCAATAAAGACATAATGCCTCCAATATCTTACGGGCATGTAAGTCATTCATCTGCATAGACATCTTTGAATTGTCTCAAGCATATTGTATCAGTTGGCTTGAATCTAAACTGATGAAAGCCTAGTGAGAAACACAGTTTAATGATCTCAAAGCAAAGTTTGAAGAAAAAAAGTCTTAAGGACATGAAATGAAAATAAAGAGAATGCTGAGAAAGAGACAAATAATGCCTTGCATAGTCTAAGGGTTCAATACGGACAGGCCCGAGTATGAAGGAGCATGAAACCAAGTGTGAGAAGAGTGTCTTTCTTCAGTCTTGGCACCTAACTTAACTGGGGCAAGTGGGTGAACTTTCGATTTTATAAAACTACTGAGACTCGTAGTTTTATTTATACAGAGTAAGTTGGTGAAACTAGATATCCTAGATTTTTCAAGATGTCCCTGAGTTCCAATAGTTTCAATCCCACACGTGAATCCTCTACTGATAGGTGTGTATCCCATTCTTACGTCGACCCTAGGGAAGATCTCAATAAATGGGTTGCACAGAATTCCTGGTGGCCCTGTCCTGGCTTTGGCACGTAATTACCTGAACATACAATATTTACTGAGAACCACTGAGGGAGCTATTCTGGACTTCTTAGAAGTTCAAGTCTGAGCAGGCTCTTCTTGGTTGACTAGCTGAAGTATGTCAAGGGTTGTTTGAGTAACTGATTTTTTTTGCTTGCTCTAGGTCCGCACTTGCGTTGCATCTCACCATGGAGCAGATGGCCTGCTGAAAGTTGTCACTGACCACCACGTACAGTAGTAGGTTACCAAAGGTGTTCAGGGCAGCCAAGGGTCTAGAAACGATGTAAGCTTCATGGATCTGGTTCTCAACAGAGCAGCTGATTGAAAGCAGGCGAGATTCGATCCGGATGACCCTCAAGATGTGGAAGGGTAAAAAACATATATAAAACACGAGGAGTAGCAGGATGGTTAGCCTTCTAGCTTTCTGCTTCAGGCAGCTGTGATTGTGAGGTCCTTGGGTTAGGGTGTAGATGATCGTCGTATAGCAAAGTGTCACTATCACCAGGGGAAGGCAGAAAGTAGTGGCCGTCAAAATTAGATTGTACCATTTGATGGTGGCGAGGTCATCCGAACTGGTGAGGTCAAGGCAGGTAGATCTGTTGGTCCCGGTGGTTGAGGTGATCAGGAAGGTCATAGGAACAACGGCCACCAGTGAAACGATCCACACCACAGCGCAGGCCACCACGGCCCATCGAGTTTTGTGAATGGAAAAGCAGCTCAGGGGGTGAATGATCACAAAGTACCGGAAGATGCTAAAGCAGGTGAGGAAGAGGATGCTGCTGTACAGATTGAAATGGAATCCAAAGCGGATAAACTTGCACATGAAAGCCCCAAAGATCCAGTTTTCATCGCTGGCGTAGTAGTGAATCAGGAAAGGGAAGCTGGTCAGATAGAGCAGGTCTGTGCAAGCCAGGTTCAGCATGATGACAGTGCTGCCTTTCCAGGGCCGCATTTTGAAAATGTAAGTGGAAATTGCTACTGCATTCCCTGGAAAGCCCACCAGGAAGATGATGCTATAAATAACAGGGAGGTAATGCCTCTTGAGTGGGATTTTTTCATCAGTGCAATTTCCGAACGGCGCTGCATAATCGGGGAAGTCAGAGGCATTTGCAAAACTGTCTGGTGGCTCATTCATGGCTGTCTTTCATCTTGCAGGAAAACAGGAGTTCGGCTTGGCAGTTCAAATCGGCTTCGAAATAACTCGCTGATAAAGGAAAATAGAAAACATTAATGATGGGGTAATGAAAACAATGATCTTCTTTTAAATGAAAATTGCTCTAAGATCCTAAATTTGCCACTTCTTTCTCTTTAATCTCAAAGAGACCCTGTGGAGAAGAGATTGAATTTCTAGGAAAACTGTTGTGAGGCAAGACATCTAATAATAATATAAAAGTTAAATTACCACCAGAATGAAAATGAAGGATTGGAAAAAACAACTGCGCTTAGCTGTGGAAAACAATTTGGCAAGGTTGCTGTTTGGGGACGCCGTAGGGTGTCACCATTAGAGACTTCACCAAAGACCCGCCATTACTCAAGCACGAGGCACTTCACCATCGTGTTACCTCTAAACTTCACAAGATACTGAGAAGTGTTTCTTACTTTCTCTATTTTACAGAAGAAACAAACACTGAGGGAGGTTTTGCAACCTGTCCCTGCTAAGGCATCTAGGGGCAAAGCCGGGGTTCAACCTGTGTTAGTCTGATTTAGAAGCCATCCTCTATTCTGCCTTACCTCACTGTGCTGTCTCTCCATCTGGATTCCCCCAAATACCTCATGGAATGTGAAATGGGAAGGCATGAAAAGACAGAATACCGGCCATTTTTTAAATGTAGATTTCGTGCCTTGCACCATCACGTGTATGGTAGATTTCATTTTCAAATGTCAGCTCTTCCAACCTATTTACTAGCTAACATAATTTGTTCATGGGAGGGCATGTGTGTCTGCCAGGGGAAGAAGAGCAGCAGATTCATGCAGCATTAAGAGCTTTGGGTTGTGTCGCCAGCCTGCCTGACCTTGATTCTCAGTTTAGCCGCTGAGAACTTGAATGTCCCTAAGCACCTTGCTGAAGCCCTCCAGGGCTAGGATCAGTGGGATTTTCACTTCCTTCTTCTTACTTATCAGTGTTTTCTAAAATTTTGTCAGTGAATTTCTGCAATGAGAAAAGCATGAAGATTATTTAAAAGAATTACTTACAATTGGCTTTTTATTCAGATGTAAATAGATGCTGGTAAAATGCATCCACTTACACATTTATGGAGTGCCCACTGTGTATTAATTAGGCACTCTGCCAGCTCTTAGAGATACAAAATGAATAACACACACAGATGTACAAGCACTATCACAGTCTACTGGGGGAGATGGACATGGACATAATTTTAACGAAATATAACCCTACCGCATGGAGCTCTCAATATATTTTTTAAAAAAGCAAGACAAACACTTGGAACACTACTGGGCATATGATAAGTGCTCAATAAATGTCGGGTAGTTGTTAATCACTAAGTCCTTTGATAGATGAACAGCACAAAGCTACCGAGATCACAAAGAAGGATGGGAATACCTACCTGGAGAACGGGGGAGGACACTAGAGGAAGGTCATTAGGAAGGAACATTTAAGCTGAAGGTAACAATAGGAAGGGAAAGGCATTCCAGGCAAAGGGAATAGCATGTGCAAAGCCACTGACATAGAAGGCTCAGGGGAGCTCTAAGTAGCTCAGTGTGGCTGCTACATTAGGGAGCAGTGGGAGATGCAGCTGGAAAGAAAAAGTAGCTGATAATGAAAATAATAGCACCTCCTGTGGACAAAGCTCTACTACTCTAAGTGTCTTCCGTGTATAAATTCATTCAATCCTCACAGCAACCTGGCGAGGTAGTTCTGTGATCATGCCCATTTTACAGAGGAAACTGAGGCATGAAGAAGCAGTGATTTGCTCAAGGTCACCCTGCTAGTCAGGAGTGAACCAAGATACAGACTAGGGCAGTCTGTGTGCAGAACAAGGCTGCCCCTCACAATACATAGGCAAGAATTGAACTAAGTGCCCTAAAATAACAAGGCTGAATTAGGCTTTATCCCAGAAGGGCTAAGTAAATCAAACATCATAAATTGTGTGATGCAGGGCTAAATTGTCAATGATAATGGTACTCAGCTCTTTGGGTTGAGAGAGGTTAAATAAGTTGATATGTTAATGTACATAAAGTGTTTTGAAGGATGCCTGGCACATACTAACTGCTATATCATTGTCGGCCATCATCATTACTATTACCTGGTACGAAAATCTACACTTTCATGCTTTCCCTCAGTGTAGCAAAGAGGTATATTTCAGACTGGCCCAACTTAACTAATCTGAAACTGATAAAATCTTCCCCTGTTCATTGGCCTTGAATATACTCCTCCAGCTCACACTTCAGGGGCAGATCAGGACGCCTTTAAATATTTATGACTTTTATTCCATATGAATTGGGGAAAGACTAGCCTAGGGATGGGAAGCATGCCACTGGGCAGCCATTAGGATCGTCCGGGGGAGAGGCCAGTACTCACTGGGATGTGTATTACAGACGGAAAGCAAATGTTTCCTTCCTTGTCAAGTTAATTTACTCTCACTGGACACAATATTCCTTGAACTATTACCTACACAGTACGGCAGGTGATAGGAGTCAGGTCCTGCTGACCAGCAAGGGTGCTCTGAGCCCAGGAAACTGCAGCAGAGAGCTTTTTCCTCGGCCAGATTCTTTAAATGGACTCATGGGCAGGTATTTAAACCCGAAAGCAAGGGGTCATGGTCAGAGAGTCCCTGAGGCAGCACTTCCAGAAGTCACTTCTTAATAAGTCCTGATTCAAGGCCACACTGTTTGTCTGTCAACTCCCTGAAAGCAGAAACATAGAATCACCTTGTATCCAAGGGCCGACTAGGAGAAAGTGCTCAGTATATATTTGCTTAAAAAAAAAAAAGAACAATGAACAACATCAGCAGAATTTTATCTTAGGCTCAAGGGTTAATGAAGTGGCAAATATTATTTTTTTAAAAGTTTGCTTCTTTAACCACTTTTAAAGCAAGAAGCACAATTATAATTTCTGTTATTGCCAAATAACCCCCTGGCCCTGGTATGGGGCCATTTTAAATAACGATCATATCAGGAAAAGACAGGTTGTAGGTAGAAACAACCACCTTACTGTTTTGAAAAATAACAGTTCAACTGGGGATTTAGTGAAGACTGACTGACCCGTTGTAAGGGAGGAGGGGTTAGCTAAGAAATTTAACCCCTCTTCCATAAGCTTCAGCAAAAGAATGGTTGAGTTTACAAAATATGGGTCAAGTTTAGAGCAATGGACAGAACTGGGCAGGGATGTGAGTGAAGTAGAAGAGGCAGGTTCCAGAGTCCTGTGAAATTCACCACCACCACCCAGATGTCCACAAAGGACTCATTTACATTCAAAGGACAGTAAAGAAAAATGTGATGTGTCCCCTGTTTTTTGCTACAACAGTGGATCTCAATCATAGGGAGGTTATAGACCACCTAGAACTAACCGACTCTTCATAAACTGGCAATAGTGATCTATTAAGTTTCAACATAACCAGATACATACATGTGAACTAAACTAGTGTTTAAATAAAATAAAAGCAAGCGCCAATAATTTGGGATATTTTTATAAAGAAAAAACACATCATTTTGGCTCTATTTTTTTCTGTGAAATTGGGAAGAGAATGTGATTATTTGAGGCTAGTTGCAGGACATCAGTGTTTTGGAAACACACAGCTTGGGGACCGCTATCCTAAATGCCAACTTGCCCATGAACCTCACACACTGGGATACCAAGCTTCTGCAGATAGGGAAGATAGGAACAGAAATAGCATCTATTCAAGTAGCAGCATATACCACTGTATGTCCATGGCACACTCTTGCCCATTTGGTGGGAACAAGTGGGATTAAGGATGAAATGTGATTTTCCTAAGGTATCTGTTAATTTTGTAGTAAGCTCCAAACCCAACTTCCCGGACCCCACCCTGTCAGAGTTCTTTTCCCTCCAGACTCACGCCCTAGGTTTTTCTGGTGCTATTCCAAGGCTGAGTTAACATTCATTCTTTCCTCTTCTCAAGCTGCCAGTGGACCAGGGACATAGAAACTTGTAACCCTGAACCTCTCACATTCCTTCAGAGTCCTCGGAAACTGCAGCTGGGGCTGCTTTTGGTTATCAAGAAGAACCGTAGATAGACATTTCATTCACAAAGATCCATCTTCGTTTCCTCCTCTACATATCTGTAAACTGATTTGATTTCGTACTAGTGAAAAACAGACCAATTCTTAATCCAGGCAAATTTGAGAGGCTCATGAATGTTGTCCTCCCAGAATTTGAAGGAATCCCTCTCTCTAACCCTTCCCTCAATCCCAGTTTTCAAATAAGAATCTGCCACTCAGTCACCCTAAAGACTGTTAGTACTTGCCATGTTGATGGGGCCCAAAGCTATGATTTTAGCTATTTGATCTTTAAATAAAGTCTATGGAAGCCCTCCTGGGAAAAATACATGTACGGGCACACAGAAATTTTACATACCATTTGGAGATTTAGAGACAGTACTAAACTTGTTCATTAAATCCACGGTGACAAAACAAGACAAAAAAAAAAAAAGAAAGAAATGCATGGGGGGCGGGCGGTGTTCCTTCACTTGTTGGGAAGACTGTGGGGAAGTGTCTTGGAACCTTTGCTAACACCAGGAAGATGCAGTAAGAGCTAAGAATGTATCCAGAAGTCAGAATCAATCAGTGTCAGAGATGAAAGCTCTCTGTCCCCAAAGTACCCCCACCCCCCAAAGACACCCATGCTTGGTCCTGAAAAAGGCACAAGATGGGATTGACAGTTCGGAACTTTTTCAGGCCTCCCTGAGATAAACCTCTGGCCATCTTAGGCTTTCCTTTTCCCTGCGGGGATGCGGGGTACTCCTGCTGCCTGCGAGAGAAGTCAGGGGCCCCTGCTCTGCCCGCGCCCCTGTCCTGCCTCAGAGACGTGCCCGGGGGGCTCTGTTCCCCAGGCTCAGGACGCCCCGTGTCCCTCCCGGATCAGCGCCGGACCCCCGCACCCGGCCCCCGCCGGCCCTCTGGCCGCTCCCGGATCCGATCTCCGCTCACCTGGCGCCCGGTGCGCGGCCCCCGTGTGCCCCGCGTGGCCGTCGGAGCGCGGCTGAGCGCTGGCGGCGGGACAGTCG